AGTTATGAGCTGTCATTCTGTGAACTGCACTTAACGTCATCACTGTGATGTTTTCAAGTCTTTGGAGAAGTCCCAACATACAACTAAGGTACAATGGTATACTGGTTGGTGGTTTGGAACAGCCATTTTTTATTTTTCCATATACTGAGAATGTCATCATCCCAACTGACGAAGTCATATTTTTCAGAGGGGTAGGTATACCACCAACCAGTTATAATGCCAGGCTTTCCTATGCATTTCTATTTTTGGTGGTTTTCCCATGTTTTCCCCACATGTGTATCTCGAGTTGGCGGCACGTTGCCGGGCCGTTGCCGGGAGAAAAATGATGAACCCAGCCTCAGCTGCACGAGCATGACATCAGGGTATGGAAAAAAAGGGGCTACCCCAATAGCTGGATGGTTTATAAATGTTTTTATATAATGGAAAATCCAACAAACACAATTATGATTTAGGGGCACCCCCATTTTAGGAAACCTCCATACATACATACATGCATGCATGCATAGAACATGTATGGTGATGAAAACAGCGGGCCAATGGGCCAAGTCTCAGGAGACACTTACAACTAGGGTGGTAAAAATGAAGGGGTCTAGAGCCTAACAAATCATTGAACAAACATCATAAAACCATATATCCCACCAACAGAAATATAGAATATCCTCAATAATATTCAACATACTGTGGAAGAAATCCTGCACCAGTTGATAGATGGTAAACATCCCATTATTTATAGGGTTTCAACATGTTTCAACCATCCTTTTGGTGGTGCAGGAGGGCCCTGCCGTATACGTCGGGTCGTTCTTAGGTTGAAGCTGTTGGTGGCCACCGACGTGGCTGCGCGCGGGTTAGATATTAAGGGCGTGCGGGGACCAAGGCAGGCTTGATGATTTAAATGGCATTTATTTAAGGGATTTAAGATGATTTAAGCATCATGGGATTAAATGAAAGTTGATATAGATGATACATATTGATAAATGATGATTGTTTGATAATTAGTTGGGGGATTATACTACCCTTTATATATTGGGCATTATTGCACAAACCAACCAGTGTAATGCAATGATAGAGGCATTTTGAACACTGTTCAACTGATGTCCAGAAGCTGGAAAAAAAGACAGGGGTTGGAAGATTAGTTTCTACTCAAAATTGGTTATTTTCGGGGTCAATCTTAATTTACCAAAGGGCAACTAGTTGGTTTGTTATATCTTCCATAAACCCTAGCTATACCACAATGTGGGGCCCTCCAATTATGTTTATTGGTTTATAACCCCCCTTGAATACTATATATAGTTATTTGCGTATCATAAACCATAGTTATTGGAGTTATAAACCAACTTTGCTATCGTTTGGGGGCCCCACATTGTAGTCATCGGCAGTCTTTTAAAGCTACCTATGGGAATATGTTTTGGATAGCTGTTTTGATGAAATCCTTAAGTTCTCATTTTTTTGTTCAGGGATGCTTCAACCCATTACTGTAATGGTGATTTTTTTTTGCCATAGCCGCAACAAAGGGGGATGATACACGGAAAACAATTAGCTAATATCTCACCCATTTGACCCCTCTGGGTGTTGGTTGTGAGCAACCCGGAACGGGGTTTTGGCCCAGAGAAAATTGCGATGTCATGGGCCCAAGTGGGCCACAATGTGGATACCGACAAAGTCATGGAATAATCCCAAATACACAAAAAGCATGGTCTTACAAAATGGTTGTTTTCAGGCAAAGAATTGGATTTCACCAGCCGCAGTGGGCATTCCATCGATTTAACCAGCAATAAATTGAAGCAGATCTGAGGTCGTACTGTCTGCCCCAGATAGGAACAAAAACACGCTTGTTTCATCAATGTTTGGAAGACACACTGAAAACAATCACTTGGGTTTTTTTCTTGGGATTCATGTGATGATTCATGAACCAGTTATGGCTCGAAATACCAGTTATAAGTATTGAACTAACCCCATTTATAGAGTGTATAATCCCATAGAAATAACCATATATTAGTAATAAGTGGCCATGACTGCAGTGGTACTTACTCCAAAGCCAAAAAAACAACTACTTCAAACGCAAGGCGCAGACATTGGCCAAGAATTTGGCCGATAAATCTGGTGAAAAGATGGAGGGGCGCCTGCACAGAAGTTGGTTTATCGTACAGCCCTGATCCAGCGGTTCCAGCAACGTTGAAAGATTGGGTGTCGTGATTTTCACTGGTTAATAATGGTTAATAATGGTTAATAATGGTTAATAATGGTTAATAATGGTTAATAATGGTTAATAATCTCTGGTTGGTGGTTTGGAACATTTTTTATTGTTCCATTCAGTTGGGAATGTCATCATCCCAACTGACGAACTAATATTTTTCAGAGGGGTTGAAACCACCAACCAGTTCACGATTTGGAGCTAAACACGATTTATCGCCAGTTTGAAGCACCCACTCCCTGCAGCGGATGAACTTGGAATTTTGCTGAGAAACTCAGCATGAACTGGTCTCACAACCGCCGGCACATAGCATATAGCGTATAAAAGGCTACCAATATCCCTGTACCTTGAGATACTCCCTTTCTAGCCACCACCATTCCGCACAATAGCTTGTTTTTTTAGCAGCCACTAATAGCCACTAATAATAATAGCCACAATGAATATTAAAAACAGCTCCCAACGCTTTACCCATAACATTTGAAAGCCTCAAGATAGAACCAAACAAGTGATAACATGCCAGGTGTCATTTAGTTGTTCGTCATGTTGTTGGATTAGTGCAGAGTAGGCATCTCCGGGATCCCCGGAAAGAACAGGGACTGCATCCCAGGATGTGGGAATATTTGATGGATATCTCCAGATTTGCATTTACCCTCTGGTAAACTAACAGTTAGCTATGGAAAAACTCAATCTTTGATAGATAAATCAACTATTTCTATGGGCCATTTTCAATAGCAAACTGTTAGTCAATACCAGAGGGTACTTCTTTTTTGATGGGGGGTTACCCCACAGTTATGGCCCTTTACGTCATACTGGTTATGTTAGTACTGGACTAACTCCATTTATAGAATGTATAATCCCATTTATAACCAGTTATAACTAATAAATGGCCATAATTGTGGGGGTTACCCCCAAAATAGAAATAAAATAATATTGAAATTGGTTCCCTCTCTCGATCAACTGTGGGGGCTAGCCAAATCCTAGCATAACATTATTCCCATCTGGGGATGGATCAAAACCTATGAAACTACCATATGGCTACCCTCTGGTAATTTAACATAACTATGGAAAATCACCATTTCTCGTGGGAAAATCCACTATAAAGTATGATTTTCCATAGTTATGTTAAATTACCATATGGCTATCCATGAACCAGCTATTTTATGGTACAATGTGAGGCCCCCCAGTTATAAGTTGGTTTATAAGCCCCAGTAACTATAGTTATAAATACCATAAACCATAGTTATTGGACTTATAAACCAACTTAGCTATCTAGGGGGCCCCACATTGTACCTATGAAGGTTTTGACCCATAGCCATATCAACACTTGATGATCTTTGAAGCGCCGCTGAACATCTGCGAAGAAATCAGGTCACTTTGGTGGTGAACTACGACGCCCCGTCCAACACGGAAGATTACGTGCACCGCATCGGGCGGACGGCAGGGGGAGCCCAGATGAGCTTTTTTTGGGGCCATGGGTTGGGAGGCGTGGGAAAAATGATGATCCAACCATAGTCCCGGGTGTGCTGTTGAAAATCAAGAGCAAGCTGGTTATTGGCAAGGGTGACGACTGCTAATTATTGCGATCAACAAAACCATAATTATCAGTGATTGGATAATAATCATCACTGCTATTGCAAAACCATAATTATGGTGATGTGTTTTTTTTTGCAATGGGAATTCCCCGTTTGGCCAATCCAAAGAGATGAGTTTGTTTCTTGTGGGCCCTTCAATCAAGCAAATCCAAATATTGAACTAAACAAATTTCGGATCTAACATAATTCCAATGACCAAAAGCGTATGATGTCTTAAACACAAACCAGAATTTGACATGCTTATTTGAACACTTTCCCCATATATATATATATATTATATATATATATACATATTATATATAATGTTTGTTGCTTTGATGCGGTTGATCCATGCAAGAACCAGTCTAGTTGAACAGTCAATTTAAGTAAGTCCTCCAACTTAGCAATCAAACTGGAGCATGAGTTTGCAGGAATCCTTCAATGGATTGAGTTAGATGAGCAACACTGCTGGTGTTTTGTTTGTTGATGGCGCAATACTCGTGATGAGTAGTGATTAATGTTATATAGTGATATAATCAATGTACTATAATAGTTAATAGTTAATGTACTATATAGTTAATGTTCTCAGTACTATAATCATCATTAATGTTATATACTCATAGTGAAATCACCAGAAATTCGCCAAGTCCACAGTCTCGATATGTCTCGATGGGGAAATCGTTTGAATCTGATATCTCGTTTTGGCTAAATCCCTCTTGGCGAAGTAGAGTTCGATCTCAAAGGCTAAACAAACATGTGGAAATGTTTTCCATTTATGGATTAATTACATATATTATTAATATAAGTATATATATATATGTATATATACATATTAAAACATGGTGATTTCCCACATCTATGTTACTTTGCCCCAGGGTTGTTATGTCTCCCCTGTCATCCCAGATGAAAATCATAGCCTTGTCGATCAGGGTCGTGCTGGGCAGAAGGGGCACGCCGTGACCCTCATCGTGGAGCGCGATGCACATGCCTTGCGGGGGATCGTGGAGGCTGGGATGGGATGATGTGAGGGTCAGGACCCAGAAAAACCCCGTGGACGGTTGATGGTTGAGATGGTTGATGGTTTAAGCCTCAGAAGCCTCATGTTGTTTTTTCAAATGTAGGTGTCAAACGATCACGGAAATCATCGAAATCATGTTCGATATTGACTCTGTGATAAATGTGATGGATAATATGATGGTTGATGTTATATATAGCTATGTTTTATGTTTGCTTACGCTGATACTTACATGCAATTTTGTGGTATTGGATAGAATTGTAGGGAAGTGTAGCTAATTGATGGTTCATGGCTAGCTATGATATATTGTTGTTTCTTTTTGTGAAGTTCAATTTTATTTTTAAGTGGTATTCGACATCAGTGTGGCCCCATGTGTCGAGACTTTACGAACGAGAACAGACTTGGAATGACTTGCTGGAACATCTCCAAGACAGGGGAACATCGTCTCAGAAATTCACCGGGCAATATGTTTTGTTTCAATTTCAGCCTCTTAAGCAAATCCCAGTTATTGATATTATATGTATATATAATTATATATATGTATATAAATAAACACATTATACATATATATATATGTCTATCCTCGTCCGAGGTTTTATAAAGAGGAAGATCCTGAAGCCTTGACATGGGACGAGCAGCTGACATCCCGCTGGCAAGGTGAAATCCCCAAATTAAATCGCCCATTTTTATAGGTGGTGGTATGGTTACCATTCCCAGGAAGTCATGGGTGGTAAACATGACATGTTTTTTCATTGCCCACATGATGTCAAAAAATCAGAGATCCGCAAAATACCAAGAGTTTTACGAGGAATGCCTTTGCGCCCCAAAAGCGCCCTAAAAGCGCCCTAAGAGCGTAGCCGCGCCATTGAGCTCGATGGATTGCAACGACGGCAGGTGATGAAGCGGACGAACCAGGAAATCACGCCCCAGGTAGATGAGATGCTGAGGCCGGAGGGTTGTCGTGGGGATTTTTGTTGATGGGACCAGGCCCAGATGTGGGAAAATGAATGCGGATATCATTGGGAAGGGGTATACAGGATGGGGCCCCCAGGATAGCTAAGTTGCCTTATAAACGGCTGAATTCTATGGTTTATGGTAGATATAACTATAGTTAATTGGGGTCATAATGGTTTATAAACCAACTTATAAGTGAGGGGCCCCATCCTGTATCCAATTTCATCAGCTAAAAAAATGACTTTTGACAAAGTGCTGTGCTGGTTTTGTTAAGTGAGCGGCTGAATTGGTTGAAAACAGGAGCAACTTTTGGATTAAGTGATGTTGATATAATCTATAATTTAATGGAGATTAATCCACTTGAGATTGTCAGGATGGTAATTTATGGATGATTGTCCCATTAAAACTTGAGAAAGTAAGTTATAACGGGCATTGGGCATCATCTTGAAGGGATTCGATGGCATGGGACATGAAGAAATGGGGATTCGATGGAGATACCCTCTGGTTATGTCAAAATAGCTATTGAAAATGGCCATTTATAGTGGATTTACCCATGAAAAATTGTGATTTTCCATAGTTATGTTAAATTACCAGAGGGTAATGAAGCATTTGAACTGGGGATTCGATGCTTGATTTTTTCAGTCCAACCGCTCAGAAAGCCAACCCTAAACCCTGCGTGGCGCGATTTTTTAGGTGGTTCACGCAAGGAGGTGATCCATGCCCAAAATCCCTTTATTGAAAATTGCACTTAATCTGGTTGGTTTTATTTTTCCATATATTGGGAACAATAATCCCAACTGACTAATATTTTTCAGAGGGGTTGAAACCACCAACCAGTAATCATATTTAATCCCTTTCAAAACTGAAAAGCATGAAATTCCTTCCAAAATCACATAAAGGGAAACCATTGAATTTCTTTAACAACCCATTAAAACAATTTTGAACCCTATCAAATCCAATGAAAACCATTTAGAACCCTAAACAAACACCATATCAACATTATAAACTCACATGAACTCCCTATTTGTTTACTTTTTTTCCAGGAGAGCAGGTCCAGCGCCGCCACCTATGCGTCCCTTGTCGATTTGTTCGGAGCGGTGACCAGTGACCGGTACCGGCATGACCACGACTGGGACAGGTTGGTTACCCTCTGGGAATTGGTTACAGTTTGCGACATTGAACATGGCCATTGAGTCATAGTTGATTTTCGTACTAAAAGTGGTGGATCTTTCCATATCAATCCCCAGCCATTCCCATGGTTTTCCCATGGTTTTCCCATAAACGTTTACCAGAGGCTAATCCCCCCAGCCACCAGCCTGGGAGCGTCCCAGTCTATCCAGATAGGCCCAAAAAATAATGCCATATCACCGGTGATGTTCCCATTTGAGAAATGAACAAAATACCCTGGTTAACTACCTGGGAACTATACTACCTGGTTTACTGGGGATTATGATGGGCCCCATAGGATAAACCTAGAAAAAACAACTCGTATAATTCATGAGATGAGATAGGGGTATTTTTAATGGCTTACTTTGGTTATCTATCTATAAATACTTATAATCTATTAGTAGTAAACAAGTAATCTATAATGGTAGTAACCAAGTAATCTATAATCTATTTATTACAATCTTTGTAATGTTATATATGTATATAATATAAATTATTACTTTTACGGAAAACAGACTTTGATAATATCGTAATACAGTATATGGTTGTTTCCAGGTGATGAAGTAGGGTGTTATTATATTATCTGGGACAAACATGTGTTTACTGAGATTTAAATGGGATGTGATTGGGGATCTACTGGGACTATATCCAAAGTTTGGGGAAATTCTTATGGGATTTTGATAGGATCTTAACGTGTGATTTGATGGGATTTATCTGAGATTTCCTGGGAATTAAATGGGATTAACCATAGGATCTAATGGGAATTTATGGTTCTTGCTACTAGCAAGGTAGATGTTTATAAGTAGGTTACGTAAGTAACGTACATTTAAAATTTGCTATAGTCTCCAAAGCTAGATAGGTTTGTAAACCAACTTATTCCTGGGGGGCACCACTTTTTAGGGATATAATGGGGATGTAAGATAAGGATCCTATAGAATAGGCCGTTGAAGAATCATGATGATGCTTAGTATTGTTTGGATATATCATAAACGTGAACTATATGTGAATGGGATATAATTGGATGATCAAGGGATGATATAGTGGGCATGTATTATTGTTCATGGGATTATATCATAGTGGCATAACAGGCAACTAGTTGCCATGGGCGCTGCAGGGCGCCTGGGTGTTTTGTTGTTTTTCTGGTGTTTTTTTTTCCCGTTTTTGGGTTATTTTTTTGATGATGGCGTGGGTTGGGGTGGGGTCGGGTGGGATGTTAACGTTCATGTGACGTTCATGATGTTACGTTGATCATGGGGTGGCGTGGGGTGGGGTGGGGGTTAACGTTCATGTGACGCTCATGATGTTACGTTGATGGGGTGGGGTGGGGTGGGATGTTAACGTTCATGTGACGCTCATGATGTTACGTTGATCATGGGGTGGCGTGGGGTGGGGTGGGGTGGGATGTTAACGTTCATGTGATGCTCATGATGTTACGTTGATCTATGCTGATGGTGCTCGTGCATGGTCCAAAGCTGCGAAAGTTTTGAAAGTTCCTTGTTTTCAAGTGAATCATCAGCATAAAGAATATGCTTCCACAATTCGTAAGGTGCCCAAAGGATTGTCCAAGATCAGTGGAACACAGACCATTGATTCAGATTGGAAATCGTTGAAGTGCTGGCTTCCCAAGGAAGCTTCCAAAAAAAAGGCACTGGTGACTTGGTGACCCACTCTTCAAAATTGGAGCGAAGGGTCTGGCAATGGATGTGGCGCAGAACCGAACTGCGCGGCAATAATTCAGAGAAACTTGCAGCCATGAGCAAATTCTTCAATGGTTGAAGTGGTTTTCAGGACGTCCAAAAACAGGCGTGTAACACTGCATAGGCAATTTCAATGGGAAAATCACGCACATGCCCTTTAAACCACCAGGCGCCTCTCAGCGCCGTTCCCAACTAGTTGGGATATGATTAGATACTTGATATCATGGGAGATCTGTCTGACGCAATTTGGAGGGAGTTGTTCGGAGTTGCGGTTGTACCGTCTCGAGGTGTTGTCGCTTCCCAAGGGTCTAGGGAACTGATCCGCGACATGGATGACTACTGGCCATGTGGGGATAGGGTAATAGGGTAGTTTTGCGCTGAACCCGCCCTCATCAGCCTTGTTTTAAAAGCTTTCAGCAAGTCGCAGAGGAAGAGGTAAACTAAGGTAAACCACCGAAAGCAACATGGAGGCCCCAACAATGCATGGCCAAAGCCGGTCGCACACGAGAACACAACCCACCTGGCAAGGTTCACACCATCAAAACCAAAGCAAAAACAGTGCTTGCTGGGATTCAAAAACGAACCTAGATTGCTTGGAAAAAGATCCAAACGGATCACAATGGTGCCAGTCTATTCCTGAAATAGGCCCCGCCATAGTCCTTCCTAGCTTGGGAGGGTCGATGCTCCTGGGACAACTCTTCTTGTGATCACCTCTAGCATCTCAGCATCCTGTTGCCTTTTGTACCGGGCCAACCAGGGCCGGAGCTTGGCTTCGCCCTGAGGAAGTCCTGCTCACCAGCAACGTCAGGCGCCAGATCAGACTGCCGCGGCACACGTGAGCGACCTCATCGACATGGTGAACAGGAGGAATATTCCCCTGGCCGAAGACGAAACAGCTAAGCGAAGAAACACTTCTGTCTTTGATGTGTGGTATGAACATTTCCGTATACTGTAGTTCATGGTTGCAGAATTCAACAAGTTGCCACACATGATCACATTCTTGAGTGTGCAGTGATTTTTTTTATTCATAGACTGGTGTTTCATATTGGTTCAATTTCATCGTAAGGGTATATTTAGACCAGCAGTGACATCAATACTTGAGCTGCAAACAGGTAGATCAGACATGATCAGACAATACATAGATTTATATAGCACATACATGTACGCAGTGGCTTCGCAGCTACTTCTGGAGTATTTATAGAAGCAATATGTATCAGCATGTATTATTTGTACGTATTACTGTAAACGGTATGAAACAAAATATATCATATTATATGCATACATGTACAAGTTACCCTCCAGTAATTTAACCTAGCTATTGAAAATTGCCATTTTATAGTTGATGTACCATTTATTCATGGTGATTTTCCATAGCTAAGTTAGTTTACCAGGCCGGGTAGCCATGTTAAGGGAGTGGATCCCATGAATCATCCCATCGTCTCGGAAAGTAACGTTTGGAAGTGCCATAACTAAGTGACACTAAGTTACTATTAATATATGGTTAATGATGTTTATATATGGTTAATGATGGTTAATATTCATCTGGTTGGTTTATAAACCTCCTTAACATCCATGAAAACTAGTTCGATATAGTTTTAAATTGGTTTTTACACCCCATTATACCCTATTAATTCTAGATATATCACCTATAAGCCATAGTGAAATTGGAGTTCTGTGGCCCCCTGGCCTGAAAGCGATGTAGCTCACGGGGGGCACCACCTTGAAGAATCAATTTTTCTCGAGGTGCTTCGTAGGTGAAGAGTTGCTGATGGTAAGCCCCACCTCACCGAACCCTAGGACCAAACTAGGAAAGTAGTGTTTCAACTTCTAACCACCAAAAAAGAAGGGTCTATCTGAGTCTATCTATTCTAGTTGGAAGGGAACGGTTTTTCGTTTATAATGGAATTGATTCCACTTGAGAGAAGTGGGAATGGACAGCAACCATCCAGTATTTGGGGGATAATTCCAATTGAAATGAGAATTAGCATGAATTATAGTAGCATTATCTCTGAATTATTGTACATAATGAGGCAATCAATCATTTGAGGAATCACGATGCGAATCACCCCATGATTCCGTGAACCAGGTCGGCATCGCGCTGGTGGTGGCGGTGGAGACTTCTTCGGTGGTGGTGGCGGTCATGGGGGTGGGCGACCCTCAGGCAGGATGCATCCGCTGGAAGTTGCGTCACATCTGAGGCCTAGGATTTAGACTGCGGAAACCGTGGATGTGGATGGATACTTTAGATGACTTTAACCTTTACCCTCTGGTAAACTAACATAGCTATTGAAAATGGCCATTTATAGTGAGTTTTCCCATTAAAAATAGTGGTTTTCTATAGTTATGTTAGTTTACCAGAGGGTAATCATGTTATTCAATGTATTACGCTGTATTTCAATGAGGATATCTACTAACTAATCAGAGGATTCCTTATTGTTAATGGTTGAATAACTAATGATAGATTAAATCTAACAATATGGATTTGATTTGATTTGATGTGATTCATTGCGTTACTAGGAATTAACTACAATCATTGACTATTACCATTTGATTCAATCTATTAACTCATACCATTTGATTCAATCTGATTCATTTTTTGGGCATGGAATATATCACATTAGTTTTGAATTTAAGATTGTTATACTATGTCCGAGCTATGTGAACATGAATAATCTTAAAGTTGCATGACCACTGCTATATTTACCAGATCATAATCGTACGAATTTTATGTTAGTTATGATGATTTAAGATGAATGTTAAATCACTACTAATCATGTTAACATGAATGAACACTCGTTCTTTTTTTCTTAGTAACTGGGTCAACCTTGGTTAGATACTAACAAGTATTTTAACATTTTGCTATCAATGTGAACTTAATTCATTGACCAGCTCAAAATTAGATTTTTTGATTGGTATCTAAAATTCACAATGTATAGTATAGGTTAATGTTCATTATTACCTGGTGCAACGCTGGTAAATTGTTGATTAACACTAATCAGCATTAACAACATTGACCAGCATTAACCAACATCAAGGATGATTATTTTTGGTCATGACCAACAACAATTAACCATTTTCTTTTTGAACTAACAGTAGTGTTAACCTACACTTAACCAACATTTCACCCACACAGTTGTCAATTTTGGTGAATTGATTATTGGCTCAATCCCGTAGTCATCATACCCAGTCATACTTCCTAAGACGATAGCAGGTACGGCTGGATCCATACGGTACACTTTAACGTTGATTTATGTTGTATATTAACCGTTGACATTAACCAGCATATTGTACTAACATATGGTTTAGTGTCATACACTTTACTGTCAATTGGTTTGAATTTAACTTACTGTTAATCATAACCTTACCACCCTTAAACAACATTAACAACTGTTAGATTTAATCTATCAACCTATGATGATAATGCTTTATTTCAAACCTTAGTCTCTTAAATTTGGATTCCTGTTGATTTCATATGTCCAGGGAAAGAACTATGGAAAGAACTATGTAGCAATCCATGGAAATAAGGGGTGTTTCCACTAAAAATTTCACCCAATGAAGAAACCCACCACTTTGAAAGAAAAACGCATTGCTCCAAGTTCTTGGACAAAAAACCTTTCAACATCAAGTTAGATGTTACATACAAACTTCGTATTTGAAAATATTGGTCCGTAAGTTGGAAAGGAAAACAGTATACAACAATATACAACATCTGTTTAATTCGGGGCCCCATATTTCTTCAAAAAGGAGAACACCAAAGAATGCATGTGCGCAAGCTCCAACTAGAAAAAAGAACTCATAAAAACACTATTACGATGTGACCCTGTATACTGTAAAATGGGTTAACTAGTGCATTCATGAGTGTATGTATGGCTGTGTGCTCATCCATGCAGCACATGGATGAACCGCAAATGCAAATCCACAGTTTTTAAGCATTGTTTTCGGTGCTGCGAAGACCACGGTAAAACTTAGGTAAAACATGGTGAAACAAATTTATCAACTGCACACGGACTGCTAATGAAATTAATTTGTGTTCCCCTACGTATTTGTAGCAGATCAAAGATGTGTTACTGTATTTCTGTCGCTATGTTGTTGTGCATTGGTCCGTAGCAGTGTTGCAGTAACAGATTACAATCATTATGAATATGTCATTTTATCCAAATACAACGCTTAAACTTTATTGTTGCGTTTTATACAAACAAACCAGGTCGATATACTTCCAAACTTTCAAACATACACGAACAAACAAGAACATATAATTCATCTAAAAACTCAAACAGTCTTATACAAATCATAAATACAAAGCAAGTAAAGTAAAGCAAACATCAAAAATATACTTGTAAAGTTCAACAGTTGAAGTCAAATCGAGAAGTAAAGTCAAAGTTATGTTACAAGTTAAAGGTTCTAAGTTTTAGTTTTAAGTTGTAAGTTCAAAGTTAAAAGGTTACAAAGTTATTAGTTACACAGTTTTTAGTGTCAAGTCACAATTAGAAGCTCTAAGTTGTAAGTTAACAGTTATAACAGTGTGTTTCAATTTTAAAACAGTTCCTAAACCTTATAAATTGATTTATTGAAGTTTGATAGTCAAGAGTTATGGATTATGAGTTGTATTTTAACAAAGTGGCTATAAGCTACAAGTGTGTATATTTGGTTTTATCAAGTTATATACAAGTATAAAAGTAAGTTAACATATAAGCCATTATTTGGGGTTTGCAGAACGGTTCGGAACGGTTCCGGAGATTTCAACAGAACGGTTCGGAACGGTTCCGGATACTTCCAAAACCTCAGAACTATTTAGAACTATTTAGAACGGTTCCGGAACGGTTCCGGATTCAAAGCCTATAGACCCCAGAACGGTTCGGAACGGTTCCGGAGACCTCCATATATAATAGCATATTTTAACTTGTATAATAGCATATTTTGACTATATATATAATTATTTAACTTTAACACATAGAGTTTGAAAAAAATAAACGCATACTAGTACCATAAGCAATGATGGTTCGACACAAGCGATACTTTCAAACGGATACATTTCAATACAAACTACACAGTTGTATGATTTTGTTAGAAAAGATTCCACAGAACAGTTTTCAAGACAGTTAAGATTTTGAAAGGGGCCACGCCTTCCATGAACAAACAGGTTTTGAAAATGCGAAACAGGAGGAACTGCTCTGGACCGTTTTTTTGGGGGTTTGGAAGCTGTGGAGAAATATCTCCGTGCAAAGTTGAGGTCTGCAGAACCGTTCCGAACCGTTCTGGAGGTCTGCAGAACCGTTCCGAACCGTTCTGGAGACCTCTGCGCTAAGAAAATTGTCACGTAAATGGGTTCTCTGTGCCAAGAATCCCGGGAGTAGGAAGGCACGGACAAGGTTGAGCCATTCCGGATGCATTAGTCCCAACCCGAAAGCAACCCATCATCACCCTCAAGAACCCCACCGCTACTGGTAGCGCTATATATATATAATTATATATATATTCTGAAAAGTATCAAATCATGGTCCAAGAAATTATCGGCAGCTATATACAATATAGTTTGTTTCTTGTATGGGTAGTAGCACGGTAGTAGCAACAGTCTTGCCAGAGTGACAAAATACCAACAATATAGCCTGGATGTTGCACTGCTACCGCTACTGCATATTTTTGATCCAGTCCAGAACTGGTGGGGAAAAAGACAGCAATGGGAATGCAGCCAACAACCAGCATTGCCTTTGTTCTTTTTTTGAAAAGGGAAGTCACATAATCCCAACAGCCTGAACACATTGCAGAAGCCAGCTCAGCGCGCCCAAACACACATGGACTGCCTTCCAAATAATTGAAATTACATATTGATAGAATTCGACTTCAGCGCCTGTTCCTTCCACCTAAGTATTTCTCCAATTGCGCTTAAATCGCCCGAATCTTCCCTCAAACAAATGCAGCATCATAAATTAAACCCACTATCTGTATGCGGGTTGTGTATTTATTCAAGGTTTCAAGTATTTGGGGCAAGGTTGTTAAGTAATCAAAGCTGAATTTAGCCCAGTCTCACACTAGAACATTAATTAGCTGCAAATATAATTCCACTTTGGCGTTTGTTTCTGTCGCCTGAGTATGTCTCCCATCTTGAAGAAAGAGCAAACCATATTTTCACCCAAATGCCAGCCCCAGACTAGAAATTGGAATGCATAATCTACTTAAGCGCAACTAGAATTCTACTTACGCGTCAGTTTGTGACGCCTAAGCAAAATTATATTTGCGCCTAAGTAGATTATGGATTATGTTTTCCAACAACCCCAGACTAGATTTCTATTTGCGCATAAGTAGGTTATGAATATTTTTTTGTGTCTTCCAACAGCCCCAGACTAGAATTTGGAAGACACGGCCAATTAGGCGCAAACAGAAGAAGAATTCTACTTAGGCGTCAGTTCGTGACGCCTAAGCAGAATTATTTTTGCGCCTAAGTGGATTATGAATTATGTCTTCCAACAGCCCCAGACTAGAATTCTATTTGCGCCTAAGTAGATGATGACTATGAATTATGTCTTCCAACAGCCCCAGACTAGAATTTGCAAGACATGGTCTAATTAGGCGCAACTAGTAATAGAATTCTACTTAGGCGTCAGTTCGTGATGCCTAAGCAGAATTCTTTTTGCGCCCAAGTAGATTATGAATTATGTCTTCCAACAGCCCCAGACTAGAATTTGGAATGCATAATCTGTCTGGCGCAAATAGAATTCTACTTAGGCGTCAGTTTGTGACGCTTAAGTAGAATTTTATTTGCACCTAAGATTTAGTCTTCAAAAGAAAGACCGAAACATAAGTTCACCCCAATCTCACAGTCAGAATTTTATATTTATAGATCAGATAGGTAAAAAGCATCCATGGCAAGTTTTTGTTATTAGCAAAACTGAATTCATCACCGGTCCACAATACAAATTCAATTTAGGTCAAGTACTTCACGACTTTGAGTGCAAACCCAGATTGATGAATCTGGATGTGTCCTCGCTGTGTGCATTGTTTTGTTTCTTTACTTTTTCAAAAGCTTGCTAATTTTCCCTTGACATGGTTTCTAACATCACCTTCTATAAGATATCCTTATTGACCTGGTTTCTTCCATAGTCCCTTCCATAGTTCCCTCCATGGTCCACAAGGCCCACAGGTTAAGAGGCTAAAGTTTGAAATAAATAATGCTGGTTAATGTCAATTCATATGTCAATATATGTATGTATGTATACATATATATATATATCATGTTTAACTAATATATGGTTACTGTAATGATGGTTAAAAGAATCGTGTCATACACTTTACTGTCACTTGACTATTGGTTAACCAGGTTAATAGCCAACAACAGGTTGATTGACAGACATTAACCAACATCAACCAGCATGAACCAACATCAATTGGTGACATGTTAGATTTAATCTATCAACCTCTACACTCTAGTAAACTAACATAGCTATTGAACGTGGCCATTTATAGTGATTTTCCATAGTTTTGTTAGTTTACCAGAGAGTATAAACCATATATAGCCAGCAAACTGTGTGATGAATGTTGAGGTTTCCTAAAATGGAGGTACCATCCATTGAAGTTATGTTAGTTTACCAGTGGGTAATTAATACCCATATGCTCCATGTACGGAAAGCCTTCCCTACATTTACCCCAAAAATGGCCCAGTTTTGTGGGTAAATATTCCAGCACCATGGTTCGCACCTGGGAATATTATCCTATATATATATATGTATTTATATTTATACAGCAATATCATGATATCCATAGTTACATACCATAGTTATCCATGATATTGGTACCCTCTGGTAAACTAACATAACTATTGAAAATCACCATTTTTAATGGGCAAATCCACTATAAATGGCCATTTTCAATAGCTATTTTGACATAACCAGAGGGTATATCCTTAAATGTGGGCTAATGCTGGTCACTTGTTGCTGGCCATGACTGGCCAGGTCCGGGACTGGCGGACCTCCCGCCCCGGGTGGACACGCCGCCCACCCCGGCGGCGCCGGCGGAGCTTCACCGTTCGGGGCGCCCGGGGGAGCGATGGAAACGGGTGAACATGGGGTGTTGACCGGGAGAAAATACCGATTTTTGCGGGTTTTTAGGGTGATCTATAGGAATATTGATGATGATGTATGGTGTTATATGGGGATTTATAATGATTTATAATGATTTATAATGATTTATAATGATTTATAATGATTTATAATGATTTATAATGATTTATAATGATTTATAATGATTTATAATGATTTATAATGATTTATAATGATTTGTAATGATTTGTAATGGTTTATATGGATGATATTTATGATGCATGGTGATTTATATTGATTTATATTTATTTTCAATGAATTTTACGATGAAATAACAACGTGACACGTGTTCAATCACCTTAAATGTAGTTGCTTCCAAGAAATGGGAACTGTAATTCGATCAGATTCGATCATCATATGGGGTTGATCCAGCTCCGTTGTAAGGCGAACAAATTGTGCTTCCATCATGAACTTCATAGAATACCATCTGGTAATTTAACATAGCTATTGAACATGGCTATTTATAGTTGATTTTCCCATTAAAAGTGGTGATTTTCCATAGTTATGTTAGTTTACCAGAGGGTAGATACTGTAGAATGGTGATGAATGCTGATTAATGCTGGGGACTTAACTAATGCTGATAGTGATTATTAATGTGCTTCTATCATTTTCCATAATCTTAGATTGAGATCTCATTGGGGACAAAAAACCAGCAGATTTGTTGTTGGCATTGAACTGATCGAAGCATCAAACACTGTTGGCGTTGAACGAAAGGGACAAACTTTTTCGGGTACCCTCTGGTAAACGTTAACAACAAACGATGGAAAGATCCGCCATTTTTAAGGGGTAAATCCAGGATTTTTAAATGGTTATTTTCAATAGCTACGTATGTTAGTTTACCAGAGGGTAAACGTTTGGGATGTACTGCTATGGTAAGTATTTGTGAGTTGTATTGATTATGCCCCCCTATGAAAATAGGTTGATTTATTATAGACCCCTTTAAAAGATTTGAAAAGTATCCACCACTTAAATCCAGTCGTTCGTCTCGTTCTAAAAGCCACCTGGAGCTAAATCGAAGTGACCCCAGAACACCTGGAGCAAAGTTTTTCAGTTGTAGGCATGGTTCGAGTTCACGCGAGTCATAGGGGGGTACATGGGGATCGCTTTGCAATTTTTCTATCCCGATGTATCGAGTCACGTTGAGTCCCCCCAGATATTTTTGTTGGTTTGTAAACACATTGACTAAAAAAAAGTTCTGATTCCCACAAACAGCAACTATAGTTAGTTCTACCCCCAACAAACAGTAACTATATGTAACTATAGTTAAATCCCACATAAACAGTGGCTAACCAAGTTATAAGTCAACTGAACGCTATCTAGGGGGCCTCACCGTAAGGCTTAACGGGGCCATTTCATCCCAAATTCGAAGTACTTGTCTCAGAACCGGTGGGAACATTGAACCCGGAACCTCCGAGAAACTTGATGGAAAGCACCCATAGTTTGGTAGTGTCGCGACTTGGTTTATTGTTTGTGATTTTTATCACTGAATCAATGGCTATGCAACAGGAACCGAGAACAATTGGAGGTACCGATTCCATAAGGTCTATGTTTCAGGCCTAAATTTCAGGGAATATCCAAAGAGAAAGTGTGGCCCAAAATATGGTACAAGGTGGTGCCCCATAGTTAGATAAGTTGGTTTATAACTCCCATAACTATGGTTTATGGCAGATATAACTATAGTTAATGGGGTTTATAAACCAACTTATAACTGGGGGGCACCATCCTGTACGAACGACGAACGTAGCTCCATTTTAGGCTCCGGAAGATCTCCCATTGACCCATTCCGTTGAATCCAGGCAGCTCTATGCTGGAAATTTCCCCAGCAGTTCGATGCTTTCCCAGCTAGAAGCCTTCATAGATTGCCATGTTTGATGACACCAGAAAATAGGATTCTCATTATTTTTCATAATATTCCCATGATATCCCAATCATTACTTGTCATACTTACATCCCTATTATGACATCACCATTGATACCTCCACTTGTAGGGGATTTTAACACGTTTAATCAACATTTATATATATATATATATGCTATAGGCGATTGCCCTATTAAATATCATTAAATGTCATTAAACCATAACGAACAAGATCTGTTGTAAGGGATTTAAGAACTAATCAGCTTTTATAGTGGATATGCCCATGAAATCAACGTTTTTAAACTTCCATTGATGAGGGATGAAACCCATCATCTCCACGTGTAAGGTCCACCTGCGCCAGATCGCTACTGGGATTGCGAGCGCTCGGCTGCTGGAGTTTCAGGAGTTTTTTCACACGTTTTTTCGAGGGAAAATGGAAAATCATGAAAGTTATCTTGGAACCTGGTTGGTGGCTTGGAACCATGGAATTTTATGACTTTCCATTCAGTTGGGAATGTCATCATCCCAACTGAAGAAGTCCATCATTTTTCAAAGGGGTAGGGTTGAAACCACCAACCAGAAAATAATGGAATATTTGCAAAAGTGATCAAACATTGTGGGCTTGAACATCAATATTTTTTTGCACAATTTTCACAGCTAAAAAGCTCCATTCAGAGGGGATTCTTCATTGCCACGTTTGATGATCAGATGGTAGATTGGAATATGATGGGGACGTCATCGGACTCAACTAGAAAAACTCGGATCGATTGAGTTGTTTGATTGTTTGTTTGTTTGTTTGTTTGATTGTTTGTTTGTTTGTTTGATTGATTGATTGATTGTTTTTCTTTTTTATGATAAGAGACTTGCGCTTCTGCTCCAGCAGTTATGTTGCCTTTGGATGCGAAAGCTTGAGATCCACCCAGCGAATTTTCAATCTGGGTGTAATCCTACACGGCAATGGGCTGATTTTTCCCATTTCCAGGATCCTAAAATGGAGGTACGTTAGTACTATATTTTGGGCCATATTTTGTGGGGATATTCCCTGAAATTCAGCCCTTAGATAGGCCTTATATATGGAATCGGTACCTCCAATCAATCGGTTCCTGAAATGGCCATTGAGCGGCATCGAATCAGTTCGTTCCATTTTCGTGATGACCTCAACGCGGCAAGTTGTGAGCGGCTGGCTGAACAGCATGTTTTTTTTCATATACCCGGCCTGGTAAACTAACAGTTTGCTATGGAAAATCGGCATTTTCAATGGGTAAATTCACATTATTGCTGGTTAAACGGTTACCCTCTGGTAAACTAAGAGTTTGCTATGGTATAGATGGCCCATTTAGTTCGTTGATTTACCTATCCAAAATAGGGTGATTTTCCATAGTTATGTTAGTTTACCAGAGGGTAGTTTTGAACATGAGTATGAGAACATGTTTGTTCAGGAACATCTATGATATCTGGGAAATTTTCATCACGACCTCACTGACACCGAACCCTGGAATCATGGTTAGTAAGGCGAATTATCCCAACATGGTCTTATTTCAGGTTAGTGAAATACGATAATTTACCCAGATGTTTGTTTATGAACATCCATGAGATTCACAACCTGTTCAAAATCCACAACAACTGTTTTGATCTAGACCACTGTTGCTGGCAAATTGTACCTAAGTACCAGGATTGACTCATCATTTGGATTAAATCCCGTTAAGTCCCAATTATATATAAATATAATTATATATATATATATTATATATATATATATTCCCAGTTAATCCGATCAAATCCTGCCAGATCCCATTTAAGTCCCCATTAAGTCCACATTGAATCAGCATTTACTCTGAATTTTAATTATGAATACCATGTACTACTATTAATTCCATTTACTATGAATAGCATTATATGGATGTGGGTCAAAATGGAAGACCTAGGGGACCACAGATGTGAATGTCTAGTTTAGTATTAACCATCCAATTATTGGGGTACCTAATTTTGACCCATACCCATATCTCAATGTGAAGAGTGGTTCTTTTGTGCTCACATAGAATGTTTCATGGCTCCCAAGTCGATGCTGGATTGCTGGATGGTACTACTATGAACCCCATTTACTATGAATACCATGATATAAGTGTATCCCTGAAATCCCAAAATCCCACCAAAATCATTCTTTTCACACCAGGGTTTCGACTCAGGTCCTGCTGCAGGCACCGGGGGTGCCGCGCATTCCACCGGGTTTTTTGACAAATTCCACGGTGGAGATTCCTATGGGATCTATATGGATTAACCAACAATGTGAGGCCCCCCAGTTATAAGTTGGTTAATAAGCCCCAGTAACTATAGTTATAAGTACCATAAACCATAGTTATGGGAGTTATAAACCAACTTATCTAACTATGGGGCACCACCTTGTATATGGATTAACCAACAGGATTGAAGGGGGATTGAATGGGGATATGATGTGGCATATATCACCAACCAGAAATTCATATTTGGCGTTTTTGTACATTTCTGAAGTAAAAAATTGGACATTTATTTTTGGAAGTCATTGAACTAAACAAAGGATTTTCAAGCAATGTTTGATTACCAGAGCTTAAGCTTGGTGTCTGAATCTTCCTGGTGCTTAGTGGGAAATGGATGGGAATGGGGGAATGGGATGATTATTACTAGTGATTATGGATCATTCCCTCATTCCCTGCTAAGCACCAGTAAGTTTTTCTAGCCGTACCAAAAAGTAGTACAAGGAAATCGTCGACCCATGGGGGTTTCTCACCTCACCATGTTTGGCAATGGCAAAGGATATTGGCAGTGGTGATGGTAAGTCTATTCCTGCATTGCTTACAATCATGGTTGCTAGCTACTGATGAAGTGAGATGGGTGTTGATCACCTTGCAACATATCCCCAGATATCCCCACTTTCTTCCGGCTTAATCCAGACACTATTCTTGCACCAAGTATTTCATTTGGTTGGTTCAATGGGAATAGAACAGGATCCTTATAAATGGAGGTACGTAAACGTACCATATTTTGGGCCATATTTTGTGGGGATATTCCCTGAAATTTAGGCCTTATATATGGTAGGTACCTCCAATTTAGGTTCCTGAAATGACCATTGATTTGTTAGACTTTCGTTTTTGTTCTTTAGACTTTTTCCCGGTTCAAGACTCAATTTTTTGCTGTTAAAACCGTAAATCGTCATGTTGGTGGGTCAAAACCTCACTTTCCATAGTTTATCTCCCAATTTTGCCCAATTATGTTTATTTTTCACCATTTTCCCAATTGTTTTCCTCATGTTTGCTATCTCGTCTTCCATTTTTTCCAAGGCTTCCATCGTTTTCCCAAGTTGTTTTATCATTCTTTGGCTCAGGTCTGCTCCTCATAAAGTATGATAAAACAATTGCTGCTGAATGAAAAACAATGTTTTATCATTTTCACAAATTTGTTTCCCAAGTGTTTCCCCACCTTCCCAGTGTTGTCCATCATTTTCCCAATGTTTATCACCATTTTTCTCACAGTTTCCCACCAATTTTCCCAAACCATTTTCCCCATTTTCTTGGGTGTTTCCATCATTTCCTGAAAGTGTTCCATGATTTTTCCATACTCTTTCCATTTTCCCATATTTTTCCATGAGTTGTCCATGAGTTTTCCCACGTTTTTCACCACGTTTTCCCCAGCTTTTCCCGGTCATTTCTGTCCTCCCAGGGCGCCCGGACGCGCCCTTCGCGCAGCGCCGCAAGACGCCGCCGCGGCGGAAGCGCAGCTCGTCCTCGGCGCCGCGGCGGCCGCGGCGGTCGCCCACGCCGCGGAGGAGACAGCGCAGTGCGGAGACTTGGGATGATTATGGTATCATCAATGGTATTTTCATGATGGAAATTACCAACCATCAAAGATTTGAATTATATCATGAACATCTATGATATCTGGGAAAATTTCATCACGACCTCACTGCGACCGAACCCTGGAATCATGGTTTAGATATAGGGAAATCATTCCCAAATGGCCTTAATTCAGGTTAGTGAATTATTATAATTTATCCAGATCAATGGTATTTTCATTATGGAAATTACCAACCATCAAAGATTTGAATTATATATAATTATATCATGTATTCTTCAAAGACCAAACCCCTCGAATGATGGGTAACAAATTGAACAACCTAGTTCTTCAAATCGTTTGGGAAATTTATATGTGGTTGGTAATTTGGATTGTTTTCCATATATTGGGAAGAATCATCCCAACTGATTCATATTTTTCAGAAGGGGTAGGTATACCACCAACCAAATATGATGGTAATTTCCTTCCAACAAATTGAACAATCTATTCTTGTTGGTGGTTCAAACATGTTTATTTTCCATTTCATATATGGGATAATCCTTCCCGTTGACTAATATTTTTCAGAGGGGGTGAAACCACCAACCAGTTACGGTATATATGTATATTAACTATTGGTATATATCAAATACCAAATATTATGTGTATCTAAATATACCTTGAAATTCATACTACCAAAATATGTTCGTCGATTATGATGGTATCTATATATATAGTACCACCCCGAAACCTACCTTTTTGACATATTCATCGGACGGTTGGGTCAAAAGGGGGTTACCTTACATAGACGCTAAGGGCATTTTACATATGTATATATGTATATATATATACACATATTTTTCAAATAGTGTAATAAGACTGCTATTGAGACTGATTGAACTTAACTTCAATGATAGCATTCTGAGAAGAATGCATTCAGAATGCATTCTCTGCTAAAACCAAGAACCAAGAACCAAGATTCCCCCAGGACTCCTGAGCAAATCTTGGTTCGAACCAAAACCAGGAACCAAGGACCAAGATTCCACCAGGACTCCTGAGCAAATCTTGGTTCGAACCAAAACCAAGAACCAAGGACCAAGATTCCACCAGGACTCCTGAGCAAATCTTGGTTCGAACCAAAACCAAGAACCAGAGCAAATCTTGGTTCGAACCAAAACCAAGAACCAAGGACCAAGATTCCCCCAGGACTCCTGAGCAAATCTTGGTTCGAACCAAAACCAAGAACCAAGGACCAAGATTCCCCCAGGACTCCTGAGCAAATCTTGGTTTGAACCAAAACCAAGAACCAAGATTCCACCAGGACTCCTGAGCAAATCTTGGTTCGAACCAAAACCAAGAACCAAGGACCAAGATCCCCCCAGGACTCCTGAGCAAATCTTGGTTCGAACCAAAACCAAGAACCAAGAACCAAGATTCCCCCAGGACTCCTGAGCAAATCTTGGTTCGAACCAAAACCAAGAACCAAGGACCAAGATCCCCCCAGGACTCCTGAGCAAATCTTGGTTCGAACCAAGAACCAAGAACCAAGGACCAAGATCCCCCAGGACTCCTGAGAAATCTTGGTTCGAACCAAAACCAAGAACCAAGGACCAAGATTCCACCAGGACTCCTGAGCAAATCTTGGTTCGAACCAAAACCAAGAACCAAGGACCAAGATTCCCCCAGGACTCCTGAGCAAATCTTGGTTCGAACCAAAACCAAGCACCAAGAACCAAGATCCCCCCAGGACTCCTGAGCAAATCTTGGTTCGAACCAAAACCAAGAACCAAGGACCAAGATTCCCCCAAGGACTCCTGAGCAAATCTTGGTTCGAACCAAAACCCAGAACCAAGAACCAAGATTCCACCAGGACTCCTGAGCAAATCTTGGTTCGAACCAAAACCAAGAACCAAGAACCAAGATCCCCCCAGGACTCCTGAGCAAATCTTGGTTCGAACCAAGAACTAAGAACCCCCCAGGACTCCTGAGCAAATCTTGGTTCGAACCAAAACCAAGAACCAAGGACCAGGATCCCCCCCAGGACTCCTGAGCAAATCTTGGTTCTTGGTTTTTGGTTTTGTACCTAAGATTCCCCAAAGACTCCGGAGCAAATCTCAGATCTTAGGTCTTAGATGGAAAGAGCGCTTTCTGAATGCATTCCTGTGTAACTGCATCCATCTTGGGTTTCCCTTACGCAGGTGGGATTGATTCAACTGCCATGAACAAGTTTCAATTTTGGGTCTTTTCCCCAAGCCTGAAAAATGAACACACTGTGTCAAAGCCATGTTGCATTTTCTTGAAGGAATAACCCACCATGTTTAAGGAATGTATCACCCTTGTCAATGGAAAATTGCAAAAAAGTAATGCTACACTACAACTCTTTTCGAACTATTTTTGTTTCCGGTGAATACTGCATAGACTAAGAGAGCTTTCTTATTGAAGTTATGCTGTGCCCTTTCAAGTCACGTTTCTTCAGAAGGGGCGCTGTCAATCTCACAAAGGTAGCATGTGTGATGCTTTTGTTTAAGCAAAGGCAGCTCGCATTTGTTCATTTCAAGTATACACAATTACTGTCAAAACATTAGGGCATACTGACTCTAGAAAGCACAATGTAGCAGTACTTGTGCCACATTTGCAGCATGAGAAACTGCACAAGATAGTGGACCGTAAAGTGCTCTCAGTCCACGCGGTGTTCGCTTATTACGAGGGCCAGGTCAAGAGCATCAAGAACTGGAGTCTGCCTGACATCGTGATTGTGCGAGAAGATGTTTTCGTGCTCCCCTTCTTGCTTTTCGCCAGCCGAGACCTTGTGCATTACAATCGTCTCGAAGAGGTGATCCATTCACCCAGCGCTTCCAACCTGAGGTCCCTCTGCGCATTTGCACCATCTCTCATTGAGATGTTGCAGAGCCAAAAATACCCCGGCGGACCAGAGACCGTGATGAGGCTCAAAGCGGTCGTCTTGCTTGGGGTTGCTTTTGTGGGTCGAAACCATGTCCTGTCTAACTAACTGGAAGTTTCTTTTTAAATTTAATCAGCTGATCACTATATTTTTCTCTTCTCTTGATGACTCCGATGCGAGTCTTGTTTCTTCGATGCCCGTGGTCTGCGTGACTGCGTGCTGCGAGTGAGAACGCCTCCCGCCTTGTGTGAGCAACTAACTAATATTTTTCAGAGGGGTTGAAACCACCAACCATATATATATATATATTTATGTATGCATAATGACAATATTGATATATATATATAATCCCCTGCCGGTGAAGGCCTATAGAATGAGGAACCTTTAAAAAAATGATAGCTGTTATAATGGATGATTATGGTATCTATGTTGCAATCATATCTTAAATAATTACAGTATGTATATATTTAAAGTATATGACTATATATATATATATGGTTGGCTTATAACTTCATGGATGTTAATGGTATTATGGATACTGATATGTGTTATAATATGTTATAATTGATGATAATGGTATCTATATTTACATTATATATATCCACTGTATTATCATAATTATTGGCCCTAGGTTCTTATCAATACCTAATATCATATAACTAATACCTATATCTATATAACATCTATATGTATATCACTTCTATATCTATATTACTATATTGTTTTTAAATAAATATATATATATATAAATATGCAAGGTGGTGCCCTCCTAGTGTTGTATATTGATTTATTATAAGTTTTTAACACCCATTGACTAGTTTGATATATCACATATAAACCATAGTCATTGGAGTTATGTTCGCCAACTTAGCTATCTTGGGGCACCACCTTATATATATATTGTCACTACTGTTGTTTTTATTATTGTTATTAACAAAACATCATTATTGTTTTTATTATTCTATTTATATTGGTATAATGACAATGGTATCCAATATAGTATATATGATGAATAGTTGTTGTTAATAAGATGCTTGATGGATTGGTAATAACTTGAATTGAATCTAATGGAGTATATATATATACAAATGTATTGATGTCAAAACTGATTACCATGAACTAAAGTTGTAGATACAATATCTATAAAGTAGGGATATGGATGATGTTAAGTTTGATCTGAGTTTGGACTCAATCTCGGCAAATTGCCGACGAAATGATCCCTGAATTTGGCATGACGGCCATGTATTACAATGTGAGGCCCCCAAGATAGCAAAGTTGGTTTATAACTCCAATAACTATGGTTTATGGTACTTATAACTATAGTTACTGGGGCTTATTAGCCAACTTACAGCTGGGGGGCCTCACATTGTATGTTTTTTTCTGAAAATCAAGTGCCCAGAGAATGTTTCTTTCTTATCATCATTTTATGGGCACCTTCCTTTTCAGACACACCTATGATAATATGTATATATGGAGGTGTCCTAAAATAGGGGTACCCCAAAATGGATGGTTTATAAGGGAAAATCCTGCTAAAATTGGGGATTTGGGGGTACCCCTATTTTAGGAGACCACCATATATATATACATATATTCCGGGAAGAGTATGATACGTCCCAAATCAGAAAGAAATAGTCCTGGGGATGCACCTAGTTAGTGCCTTGTCACAGCTCGAAAGAGCAAGCAAAACAACACATGTTTACAGCGGACCTAGGCCCATACATTTTGTAGCAGATCTTCCTTGGAGAATTACTTTATATGAGCAAATCTTGCAAATGTGTGCATCAACCACAAGATATCAACAGCATTTTGAGAATGGCCGCTGCGTCACGTCCGACAATTTCATACAAAATTCATGAACAATCATAGAAACCACCTTTTATCACAATAGAAATGCGCTATTTATGACGTGTTTGATGAAAATACCATGGAAATTCATAGAAAATGCCATCAACATTCATAAAAACATTTTAAACAATACCATAGAAAACTCAAAAAAATGACAATTTATAAAATATGTAGGTTTTATGAAAATACCATAAATTTGTAATACCATAAATGAAATCATTTAAAACAGATACCATAGAAATCCATGAAAATCACAGACAATAACAAATACGACAGAAATCCATCAAAATTCATAGAACATACCACAGAAATCCATAAAAATCACCAGGTCTCCACCTAAACATTCAGGTCCGAGCCGGCGACGGAGCCCCAGCCGCAAGCGCAGCCGAAGTCGTCGTCGCAGAAGGCGGGACGTGGTGGATGTTTTTTATTAATGGTACCCTCCATTAGGGGGGTACTCCTCCAATAGTCATGATCTGATACTTAAATGGTATCCTCCCAATTGAACAGCCGTTTGGGGCCGTTTGGGGTTGATTCATCCAGGGTTGACATTACTTGTAGTGATTAAGATGCCCTGAAAATCCCATTCTATCCCTACCCTCTGGTAAACATACAAAAAACGATGGGAAAGACCACCATTCTTAATGGGTAAATCAACTATTTCGACTGGGCCATTTTCAATAGCATCCATTAATCATTGTTAATAATGGTGATTAATCATCTGGTTGGTGGTTTGGAACATGAATTTGATGACTTTATATAATGGGAATCATCCATATGGATTTTATTGGTATATATATATGGATGATTAATGGATGATTGTTAACATTATGTCATGGATGATTATGGTATCTTTAAATAATCATATATACTGGTTGGTGGTTTGGAACATGAACTTTATGATTTTCCATTCAGTTGGGAATGTCATCATCCCAACTGAGTAGTATTTTTCAGAGGGGTATAAACCACCAACCAGGAATAGCATCCATTACCGTGGGAATATCATGGGAATATCATGGTCACAATAGGTTTATCTGATACTAACTATGGTTAACTAACCATGGTAATCTTTGATAGTAATCTATTATATTTGTTTGTTTGAATTGGAATATCATCCATTGGTTTATGTTTTTTTTTATTTGTTGGAATTAATTTTTCCTATAGGATTATTATGATAGTATGATACCAATTGATATTGAATTACTATAGAATATCATCCATTAGCATGGGAATATAACTGGAACATGATGGGAATATAATCAGAATATAATGAATGTGAATATTGATTATGATTCGTTGGGATGAAAGCCATGCAATTCTGCAATGGGAAACGCAGTATGGGTTTTGCTACATGAACATGTACTTAACCGGACCCAGAAGGTACTATGATGTATTGTCTTAATATCGATCCTTGATGCATGGGAAGAAATTAGGAATTTAATGGGAGCCTAATGGGAATATTGATTATGTTCGGAAACACATCTACTTCACAAGTGGGATTTAGTGGAGATATATGAGGATTTGATTTGATTGAATGGGGTTTAATGGGAATACTGATTATTGGATTTAATGATTGGGAACCATGAGGTCGGATAGGATTTAAAGGGGATTTAGTGTGCTTTTATGGAATCTGCGTGATTCAATGATATTTAATGGAGTTTTAGAGATTGTCTGATTGGTGGTTTGGAATATTTTTTATTTTTCCATATATTGGGAATAACCATCTCAACTGACTAATATTTTTCAGAGGGGTTGAAACCACCAACCAGATGGGGTTTTCTATTGATATTAAATCATCAACAAACTGGCTATCCGTCATTGAATCTATGGATTCACTGTTTCAGGGATTCAATTGAATATATACCATCTGGTTATTTAACATAGCCATGGAACATCCCCAAAATATATGGAGGTTTCTAGCTGGGAAAACTCATTATAAATCGGCCATCTATACCATGGCTATGTTAAATAACCAGAGGGTAATCATTATGAATTTTGGATGCTTGGTTGGTGGTTTTCCATGGGTTTCCATGGGAAGTAATCAACCAATATATGGGATATCATGGGCTATACTTGGAATCTAACCAACCTGGTATTTGATATACTCTCTGGTAAACAAACATAGCTATTGAAAGTGGCCATTTATAGTGGATTTACCATTGAAAATGGTGATTTTCCGTAGCTATGTTAGTTTACCAGAGGGTAATAGTTGAGAGTGTTTGCAAATGGGATATACCATGATATACCTATTTTTATTGGCAATTTTCATAGGGTAAATGATTCCCAGTGAGATTTTAGAGTAGCCTATATATTTTCAGACAAACCCATCTGATGTTTTTTTGATATGATGGCTTAATCATGATTTATTAGGGTTTGGATCAATTTACAACCAGATATGGTTGACATATATGCAGGTTTTTTAACATTAAGCCTACGTTTTTATGTGCGTTTTATTGGTGCCATGTTTTTTCAGGGTTTTGGCATGTTTAAGCCATTAACCCCGGCAACATGGGCCAAGGTACTCACCAAAAACCTCATTGATTTAACACTGGAGTTCAGGGAGGTTTGATCATCATTTATCGGCATTTATAGGCCATTCAACCATTGAAAAACTGGGGATACAGTTGATACATGATGGTTAGTCGAAAGTTTTATAGTAGATGAATACACTGCCAGGTATGCAAAGGTATGGATATGCTGATTGTTACTTTCAAACATTCACCGTTGTGTTTTTCAAGCTATAACTTTCAATCATTTCCCGGCCGATGTGCGAGACCTTATACATACTTGTATCTATAAAAATACAGTACATAGGTCCATGTGTGTGTCATCTATAATATACAGTATACCATTCTGTTAAATGACTTCCTTATATCGGTATCATTGTTTTATGAACATACAGATATATATATATATATATATACTTCGGGATAGTCCATGTATAAGTGAGTCATTTTCCTGTATAGCTATTCCAAGTTCTTATTCAGCAGGGTCGAGCATCCTATTTGGGGATGGTGTTCCATTGCCACGACTTCCAGAGGGTAAACATGAAGTTTATCAATCCCCAGAAGCTGCCCATACACTTTTTGACCACATGGGAACTTACCCTTTGGTAAACTAACATAGCTATGGAAAATGGCCCATTTACAGATGGTTTACCTGTTCAAAATGGTGATTTTCTTTACCTATACCAGAGGGTACATGGAAACATGGAACTGAAGCAAAAACAGGAGAACACATCTTGTTGATCGATTTGTACTCTGGTTAGCGATGTGTATCTTTACTCTGGTTAGCGGTGTGTATCGAAAACAACCGCTAGATTCCATCTAGGTAAATAAACACATGTTTGTTTAAACTATTAAATAGATGTCATCAATGTATCACAAACCCGCACCAGAACAAAAACCCAAACCAACATTGGGTTTATATCACCATCTATCTAGCACTGCCATACGTTGGTTTGGGTATGAATCATGTCATTGGGTCGATTGATATTGAGAGTCATCTACATATGGTGGGCAGTACTTACTTTGATGGTGTAACCTCTAAAGATTCAGGAGGTTGTGTTTCTTTTTGGATGGTTGTTTTGAAACATCTGGAGATATCTCAGATGGTTTGCAATGGGAGAGCCTTTTTCCAAAATGACAAAGGTTTACATGTGAACCGTGTGAACTATCTGATTTATGCAGACAGATGGGGTCTTCCCGATGGCCCGGGTTGGGCAGACCAGAACAACAAAAATGTATCGGCCGTAGGTGCCGCATGTTCAACTTACCTGGTGGTAATTTAGGGTGCAAACCCCTCCGTTTGCCCGCGCCGACGTCCACCACGTTTCCGGACATGAAAACACTGTGTTTTGTCGGACAAAAATGCACATGTCCAGGACCGTGGCTTGCATATTGCAACGCGCAGCTTAGCAACCTGTGCGTTGAATGTTACAACAACAACATCATCATCATCATCATCATCATCACCATCAAAACAGTTATAATAACAATCATCATCAGCATCATCAGCATCATCAGCATCATCATCTTCATCATCATCATCATCACCATCATCACCATGATCATCAAAATCATCACCACCATCACCATCACAATCATTATCATCATCATCCTCATCACCATCATCATCATCACCACCATCATCATCATCATGAACATCGTGAGTATCATGACCATAATTTTCATCACCATTTTCTTCTTCATCATCATCATCATCACCATCACCATCACAATCACCATCAGCATCATTGCCATTGTCATGGTCATCGTCATCCTCATCATCATCATCATCAGCAGCATCATCATCATCATAATCACAGTCATATTAACCAAACACCATCCTCATTGACAACATCATCATCATCAACGGCATCACCATCATCATCATCAACAACAACACCATCACCAACATTATCATCACCACAAACATTACCATCTTCTGGTTGGCCTTTTTCTGATTCCCTAGAAACTCTGCTGACACCTCTGGAGGATTCCCTTGAATATAAAGTTTAACGGGGGTGGGGATTTAATGAATCCCTGGAAACTCTTTTGAAACTTCTTGAAGATTTCCTGCAACACGCCATTGAATATCGCTCTTCACTGTACTTGGAAACCCTGCAAAGTTGTGTGTGAGCGAAGGGGGGTTGGGCGTAATTTAACATACTGAAGCTGGCTAAGAAATCAGAATTGTAATGAAATAAACAATCGAGCTCAATCGGCCATGGCTTCCATAGAGCATTGTTTGTTTACTGGAGGGAAGATATTAAATCTGTTGATAAGTCATGAACATGCACAAATGACCACTGTTAACTCAATGACTTGCTAGTTCGGGAGTGTTTGAAGCAAGGCCCAACAGAAATGTTCATGGCAGTTTTTTTGCCACAGTAGATGGGTTTTTCTACCAAACAATTCATAGTTTGAATAAATGATATCGACTTTCCTGACATAAGTGATGTTTCATAGGCACTTGATTTTTGCGTGCATCCCACGTACATCTAGCTTACATCTAGCTTATGGAGCCGCTAAGAATCACTAAATCCCATATGCGAACCAAGGTGCAAAAAATAGCGTATAAATGGAAATCTTGGGACTATAAATCTGGTTGGTGGTTTCAAACATGACTTTTATTGGCCATTTCATATATGGGATGTCATCCATCCCATTGACGAACTCATATTTTTCAAGATCGTTATTGCACCACCAACCAGAAAAATATAAATGAACATAGAAATAGTGGATTTACCCATTGAAAATTGTGTTTTTTTTCCTTGGTTTTTTGTCCACGTTTACCAGAGGGTAAATGGAAACATAAAGGGATTATCGAAGGAAGTTTAGAAGTCAAACTTCCGACAATATGGACAGATGAAAAGCAGAGTAGGGGAGAGGCAGAGAGAAGAGG